TACTCCTTCTCAAAAAGAAAAAATCACAAATTACAGTGTGACAAAAATCAAAAAGTTTTTAGCTGACACTAAAGGTCAATGGGCGGTCAAAGTGGAAAATTTTTTCCCAGATTTAAATGGTTTTATAAACTCAGTGAATCGTTTTCAAAGAGAGAACGCGTTTACTGAGCAGGAAGTCTACAGACTCAGTAAACTCAAAAAAAGGGTCAAAGAAACACTCAGAGTGACAAGTAACTGATTTTTATGATGTCGTGTTTTTTATCCCCTGTTTTTATTTGTTCAGTTCTTCTCACAGTTTTTATGAACATTCGCATTGGGACTCTAAACATAAACGGAGCTCGGTCAGACTATAAGAGAGCATCTCTGTTCCAGCTGTGCCAGCTGAAAAAGCTGGACGTACTTTTTGTGCAGGAGACCCACAGTGACCAGAGGAATGAGGGGGACTGGAGAAGGGAGTGGCCAGGCCAGGTCTATCTGAGTCACAAAGTGTCCAACAGTGCTGGGGTGGGGATCCTGTTCTCCAGGTTCTTTAACCCTCACACTGTGCAGGTGCACCAGGTGATGGATGGACACATTTTAATGGTTAAGGCTCAGTATGAGGATTTTAAATTTGTTTTTGTGTGTGTTTATGCTCCAGTGCTGGGCAGAGACAGAATGCTGTTTTTAAATACTCTGTGTGATGTGGTGGGGGGTGTGGAGGAGGGTTTTTTATTCCTGGGGGGTGATTTTAACTGCACTGCTGATGCAGTGATGGACAGGAATCACCTGGAGCCTCATCCTGCCTCATCCACTCGGCTAAAAAGACTGATAGAAACTCATGACCTGAAGGACGTGTGGAGAGGGTTGAATGGCTCCACCAGGCAGTACACCTGGTCCCACTGCAAGGACAACAGCTTGTCTCTTGCCAGACTGGACAGATTTTATTGTTTTAAACACCATTTCAGCATTTTTAGGAAATGTCTTATTGTCCCTGTGGGTGTGTCTGATCACTTTTTAGTCCAGTGTGACTTTTTTATTCAGAATGTGAAGACATCCAGCGCCTACTGGCATTTTAACACGGCTCTTTTAGAAGACTGTGCTTTTAAAGATGCTTTTAGGTTTTTATGGGCTTCACACAGGGACAGGAAGGCAGAGTTTTTATCAGTGCAGAGATGGTGGGACTATGGGAAGGTTTTAATTCAGCAGTTCTGTCAGCAGTACACTCGCAACGTCACCAAGTACATCACCAGATCCCTCCAGGTCCTGGAGACTGAGGTACAGAACCTGTTGGACTGTACAGGAGAAGGGAGGCATGTTGAGGCCCTCCAAAAGAAGAAGGCTACCATAGCCAACCTGCTGGGCACTACAGCACAGGGGGCGCTGGTGCGCTCCCGCTACATGAACGCCTCCATGATGGACGCCCCATCGAAGTTCTTCTTCAGCCTGGAGTCAAAAAACGGACAGAGGAAGGTGATCCACAGCCTGCGCGCCACTGACGGATCCGCCATCACTGGGGCCTCAGAGATCCGCAGGCATGCCACATGTTTTTATAGAGACCTTTTTAAAAGTGAACTGGTGGAGGATCCACAGCTGGAGGCAGACTTTCTGTCTGACCTCCCTCAGGTGGGACAGTCGGGGAACTCTCTCCTGACAGCGGACCTGACTCTGGAGGAACTGCATGTGGCCCTCATGAGCTTGGCCAACGGAAAGGCCCCAGGCATCGACGGGATCCCAGTGGATTTCTATAAGACTTTCTGGCCCGTGGTGGGCGAGGACTTATTGGAAGTATTTCAGGAGAGTTTGAGAACAGGACTGCTACCGCAGAGCTGCAGGAGGGCTGTCATAACCCTGCTCCCTAAGAAGGGGGACCTCCAAGAACTGAAGAACTGGAGACCGGTCTCACTGCTCTGCGGGGACTATAAGGTCCTCTCCAAAGCCCTGGCTCTACGGCTGCGAGAGGTGATGGCGGAGGTGATTCATGTAGACCAGACTTACTGTGTGCCCGGCAGACTGATCAGTGATAACATCACTCTGATTCGGCATGTTTTGGACGTCTCTAGCTCTTTAGGCGTTGACACTGGTCTGATTTCCATAGACCAGGAAAAGGCTTTTGATCGGGTTGAACACCAGTACCTGTGGAAGACGCTCGCCGCCTTCGGGTTCAGCCCAGATTTTATAGCCATGGTTCGGGTTATGTACCGTGACGTTGCGAGCATACTCAAGATTAATGGTGGTCTGGCTGCTCCCTTCTGCGTTCAAAGAGGGGTTCGACAGGGTTGCTCCTTATCAGGAATGCTCTATTCTCTAGCGATAGAACCGCTATTAGAAAGAATGAGGAGGACTCTGACAGGAGTTCTGTTCCCAGGATGTCCTTCAGCGATAAAACTGACAGCATACGCTGACGACATCATGGTGGTTTTAAATACACAGAAAGACATTCAGGTTTTAGAGGACAAAGTAAATCTTTTTAACAAACTGTCTTCAGCCAGGGTCAACTGGGCCAAGAGTGTGGCCTTCACCACAAACAGGGACTCCTTGGGGGGGCTGGTTCTTCCTGGGGGGCTCCAGTGGACAGTGGGGGCTTAAATATCTTGGGGTGTTTTTAGGGGATGAACAGTTTTTAAAGAGAAACTGGGAGGGGGTCCTTGAGGCTGTCGAGGGCCGACTGAAGAGGTGGAGGTGGTTGCGGCCGTCCATGTCGTACAGGGGGAGGACCCTGATCATTAACAACCTGGTGTCGTCCTTCCTGTGGCACAGGTTGGCTGTTGTCGACCCTCCCCCTAACCTGCTCTCCAGGGTCCAGACTGTTTTAATTGACTTTTTCTGGGACAAGCTCCACTGGCTCCCACAGGCGGTGCTGTTCCTCCCTGTGGAAGAGGGAGGTCAGGGGCTGGTGCACCTGGCCAGCAGGGGGGCAGCGTTTAGACTACAGTTTATCCAGCGGCTGCTGTACGGGCCCCAGGACCTGGTGTGGAGGCCCCTGGCTCGGCTGATTCTGCGTAGCGTGGGCGGCCTCGGCCTACAGGAGACTGTGTTTTTATTGGATTTTAAGACTGTGAGTTTTTTATCCCTGCCAGTGTTTTACCGAGGTGTGTTCAGCGTGTGGAAGCTGCTGTGGAGGCAGAGGGTCCAGCACCAAACCTGCTGCTGGCTGCTGAGGGAGCCGCTGGGCCGTGGAGGCCTGCTGAGCAACCCCCCCTGGGCAGGAGCAGCGGTGGCCGAGGACCTGAGGACAGCGGGGATCACCACGCTGGGGACCCTGCTGGACATCACCGGACCCGACCTGCAGGAGACGGAGGAGCTGGCGAGGCGCTTGGGCTGGAGATCGAGGAGGAACGTGAGCCGACTGCTGAACCACTGGAGGACCTGTCTGACGGGACGAGACCGGCAACTGCTGGGAGAACAGCGACAGGAACAGACTGCCCCCTGTCCCAACCTACCGTTCCCCCCCCTCATCATCCGTCCGGGACCAGACCTGCAGCAGGAGGTGAGCCTGGAGAAGGCCGAGGGAAAGGCTCTCTCGGCTCTGATGGTGAGGACGATAAACCGAGAGAGACTGCAGCAACACATCCGGTCCCCCTGGAGGGCCCGGCTGGTCCTGGGGGACAAGGTCCAGGCTGAGTGGAGGAGCCTGTACAAGCCTCCACTCTCCAAGAGGGTGGCTGACCTCCAGTGGAGACTAATTTATGGGATTTTAGCTGTAAACTCTTTTATTTCCATCATGAACTCAGCAGTCCAGAACAACTGTCCGTTCTGTGGAGCAGTGGAGACCATCATCCACTGCTTCACTGAGTGTCCTCGCCTCGCTCCTCTGTTCAAACTGATGGAATGTGTGTTCAGGAGAGCAGACGAGGTGTTTTCTTTTAAGACATTCATTCTGGGTTTTAAATACAAAAGAGCTCAAAAAGAAAAATGCCAAATGTTGAACTTTGTGCTGGGTCAATCAAAATTGGCGATCTACATGAGCAGGAAGTTGAAAGTGGAGGACGGTGTGGACTGTGACCCGGTGCTGCTGCTGAGCAGAACCATCAAAGCGAGGATTCTGATTGACTTCAAGTACTACAGAGAAATGCAGAACATGCTGCGGTTTTATCAAACATGGACCCATGGTGGAGTACTGTGCTCAGTTAAAGATGGTGGACTGGAGTTTTCAGATCAGCTGGTCTGATCTGGTTTTATTTATTGTTTTTATTTAAAATATGTGTATATATATATAAATATATATATATGATGCTGATTGTTGTTGTTGAAAAAATGACTTGAATAAAGTTGTTTTGAAAAATCAAAAAAATCTCTCTCTGTCTCTCCCTCTCTCTCTCTCTCTCTCCCTCTCTCTCTCTCCCTCTCTCTCTCTCTCTCTCTCTCCCTCTCTCTCTCTCTCTCTCTCTCTCTCTCTCTCTCTCTCTCTCTCTCTCTCTCTCTCTCTCTCTCGTTGTCAAAGCCGATGGTTTGACTGTTAATCCGTTTGTTCGGAGTATAAAAAGGTTAATCTGATTTTGGTTTTCCCGCTCAGACTCTGCTGTGGTTTTTAGTTTCTCTCCTTCCTGCTCAGACTGACGCTCAGAGACTCTCGGTTCATGAAAACACCGAGTGACTCTCAGCTGAGACGAAGTTTTAATGAGAGAAAAATTAAAGTATAAAAAGACTTGATTTTCTCGAACCACAGACCAGAACCAAGGACATAAACAAAGATCAGGTCCAACCAGTTCACTCCCTCTGTGCACGTGTGTGTGTGTGCGTGTGTGTGTGTGTGTGTGTGTGTGTGTGTGTGTTATATAAGGGCAGGCTGAGATCATCCTCCTGGAGTCTCACCGGCGGACTGATCAGAGTCTAATCCAGATACAGCTCAGCTATTTTCAATCAGGCTAATAATAAAGGACTATTCCGTGACCGAACCTCAGCTCACGTGCCGCCTGCACAGATCTGAACCCCCCCCAATAACAGAACCATGTCCCGGTCCAAAGAGGGCCTCATGCAGATCTGAGACTCTGAGGGGAAGCAGCAGCAGGACACGGTCTCCCCCCTGCTGAGAGGAGGTTATTCCTGGAGATCTTCAGGTAACTTCTCCTCCTCCTCCTCCTCCTGCTGTTCTCTGAGTCACATCCTGAAACCCCTGAATGTCCCACATGGACGTGAAAAATCAAACATCTGTCCTCATAGGGGAGAGCGGGTTAAGATGATCCGTGTTTCCGGATCAGTCCATCAGGTCAGTCCTAGTTTAGTCTCTGACTCGTGTCTCTGCAGATATTTCAGGAAGTTCTTCTTCATCAGAATGAGAGTAAACAGAACTGTCATCTTCAGAGGAGAGCAGGACAAAGAATGAGGATGCAGCATCTATGATTTCCAGACAACTCTTTCCTAATAGATATTGGTTATTGATGACCTTTGGGATTATCAGGGATTCTCTGGGATGTCTCTTCAGATTTTTAAGCTCATTCTGACTGTAAACAAAGTCGTTCTCCACCTCCTCTAACCTGATTGGCTGTGAGGCAGACGCTCCACGCCCTCAAATAACGTTCACATGCCCAAACGAAGAGAGCGTGCCGACAGAACGAGTGTAAACAGAACTGAGGATGAGGCATCTATGATCTACAGATCTTCGTTGAAAAGACAACTGGACTTAGTTGAGACGAGGCGAAAACGTCTCAACGAAGTCCAGCTGTCCTTTCCAAAAGAGTGTTGGATTTGGATCCATCAGACCTCCGGACAGGTCAGTGATCTTCAGACCATGCTGTGACTCCAACTCCAGAGTCCTGATGCTCCTGAACCTGTAGATCTAGTTCAGCATTGATGGAGCCTTCACAGACATGGACTCTAATGATCCCCAGACCATCAGGACTGATTCTAATTTACCCTTTGGCTCAACTGTACCCGGTCTCCCCTATTTGTAAAACCATGAATAATGACCTCATGTTGGTCACATGATCAATTTCTTTGACGTTTACAAGAAACAGTGGGTGGTGTCTCAACGTACCCGGTCTCCCCTAAAAACTTGATCAGAACTTCAGCTGCATCTGAAAATGTCCCCAACAGAACCAGAACCCAGAACCAGAACCTCCTGACCCCACAGCCCGGAGGAAACCAGGAGCAGACTAAAACCCTGAAGGACCTGAGTCCACAGGGACCACCAGGGAACATGTTGTTCATGTGGATCAGATCTTCATACAGAGACTCTAAGAGTTCAACATCTGAGGACTCTGAGAACCACCATGGAGGACTTTCCTTCAGACTGAAGACCTCAGACCGGAGGGGGGGTCAGTCCAGTAAAGAGTCCCAGCAGACTCTAACAGGTACACAGACCAACGACAGCCCCCCTAAACCACCACAACAGTTCTAACACATGAAAACAAACAAATAAACCAGGTCCTTCAAAATAAAACTTTAAATATGATCTTTACCTTCAAAATAAAACTCCGAGTTTGTCCTCCTGAAGTTTGTCCGGAGACACAGAGGACATAAACCTCTTAGAGAGTCTGGAGAGATCTGGACTGAGACGGTCCAGCTCAGATCAGGGATCTGCCCCTCTGGAGGAGGAGGAGGCACAGAGGACTTCCGGTTAGGATTTTCAGATTAAGAGACTGATGAGTAAAGAGGTTTTATTCACATGTCCCTGCTGAAATTAAACCGTCAACAGTTTTAGTTCATTTTTTCTTCTTTATTTCTATTAAAAATTAAATTTAAGAACATGAAACATTAATATTATTTAACATAAGAAAGCTGAAAAAATCCTTTAAAGTTAAATTTAATCAGAGTCATTAAATCCGGAAACAACAAAGAAAATAAAGTCAAAGTTAAGATCTTCAACATTAGAATAATAAACAAAACAAATCAATAGTTTTATTGATGCAGAGATCTGATGTTAGTATCACACTGTCATATAGACGTGCATGCTTTTATTTTGAAAGAATCACTTTCAGTTTCCGGTATTCTCCTCAGCGTCTCCAAAAACCAGTTTAAGACCAAAACCAACAAAAAACAGCAGATCTGCAGGTGAGAGGACAGGTGAGAGGACAATAAAGGTCAATAAAGGTCAATAAAGGTCAGTTCACCAGATTAAACTGAGACCAAAATAAAAGATAAAACAGGTCAGAAAAAGAAATGTAATGAAAAAGCAGGACACAGGATAGTAAATATAAAAAGACGAAATTATAATGATAATAAAATAATAATGATGGTAAAAATTATGATAAACAAAATAACAAAACTGAGCAGAAGAACAATCGAATCAATAAAAGGTTAAATTAGAAAAGATCATCAGGTGATATTTGTGAGATTTAACTCTTTTATCTACATTATAGTTTCATCTGCTGAGATTCTGTTTTCTGAACACCTGAGAACCTCAGCCAATCAGAGAGCTGCTGAGCTCAGACAGGAGGAGGCAGGTAAGAACTCCCAAGTCTTTGGATGAGCAACAGACAGAACCACAGACAGACAAACACACACAGACACACACACAGACACAGACAGACACACACACAGATGAACAGACAGAAGAGTTGAAAACACTTTGTTGTTCCCTAAATCTGCCGTTTGGACGTTGAGTAACAACCATCCGTTTTATCAGCAGCAGGATCTGCTCAGTCAGAGAAACACTGGTGTGTCTGTTTTCTCTCCACAGGGTTAATAAAGTCGCAGATTTTCAGGGAATAATTCGACTTTTAGATTTTTTCTGCTGGTTTAGTTTGGAGGAACATCACAGCGACCCCAGAAGAACCAGCAGAGGGAATAATTAATAATTAATAATTAATAATTACCGCCGTGTGACGAGGATCTGAGAGCGCCGACACATCAGGTTTACTGAGGGACGACTGAGAGGCAAATGAAACCCACTCCCACTTTACTCATCCACCCGAGAGTGATTGTGACACACACACACACACACACACACACACACACACACACACACACACACACACACACACACACACACACACACACACACACACATTCACACTGTCACTCTGTGTGTTTGAAGCCATGAGGAATGTATAAACTAGATAAGAGCCACACCAACCCTCTGAGAGACGAGGTTATATCACCCTGACACACAGACACACACACACACAGACACGCACACACACCGACACACACACACACACACACACACACGCACAGATGACATCACCTAAGTAAATCAAGATGTAATCATCGCAGAGTGAGGCGGGTCCACTTCATGATCCCTCTCACAGACTCCAGACCCCCAGGTGAAGCCCCCCGCTGAGACCTCCAGGGAGACCAGAGTTAATGTGAGACCAGGTGGGGGGGCGGTCTGAGGGTCCGTCTCTGTTACCGACTTTTCTGTGTGAGAAGAAGAGTTTCATCATCATCATCATCATCATTATCGTTGTTGTTGTTGTTGTTGTTGTATTATTGAAATGCTTCGTTAATATTGTACAAACAGTCGTGCCAATAAAGCTTTTTAAAATTGAATAAGCACAGCTGGACCCGACCCGTCCTCAGAGGACGGTCTTACATAAGAGTCTCACTCAGACAGGTGGAGTTTGTCTCCTTCCCTCTGAGACTCAGCGGCTCAAACATTTCACAAGGACAGAGATCATGAAGCAACACGCCGCTGAGTCACCGCCAATCATCATCCAGGAGAGTTTATCATCATCATCATCATCATCATCACGCAGCAGCGACACTGGAGACCGCCACAGAGGTCACGGGGTCATGAAGGAACCCAGAAACCCTCCTCCTCTGAACCACCGACCCGCCCGTCCTCCTGACTCAGCAGATCTGAGACATTTTATAGTAGAGTTATATAAGAGGGCGGAGCTATATAACAGGGCGGGGTCAGTGATGTGGTTTGGCGGGGTGATGTCACACGTCAGTGTCCCTGTTTGGATCAGCCCAGTCTGGACTTTATTGGGGGGGGGTGGAGGTCTAGCATGGATCCCTCTCTCTCTCTTTTTAAAGCAGGACCGACCTGAAGCCTCACAGACTCGGAGTGAGAGTGGGTGGAGTCTGAACAGACCCTCTGACCCCGCCCACAACCACAAAGACAGTGAAGAGTGTAACCCCATAGAGGAGCAGAGAGCCAGACCTTCTACCAGGTCCTACAGTGTAGACCTGGTCCACAGACCCCCCCCCCCCCTCAGGCTGATCCTCCAGCCTCTCTGACCTCCTTCCGTTCCCACAATCCCCCCCCCCCTGTCAGGGCTCAGGGGTCACTCTGAAGGTCAGAGTCCCCGCCCACCTGGAACAAACACTCAGAAATAGACAAAACCAGAGAAAGAGAGGAAGGGAGGGGGCCGGAGGTCCGGACTTATCTCTGAGTCTGAACCAGGACCAGGGCCTCAGTCTGAACCAGGACCAGGGCCTCAGTCTGAACCAGGACCAGGACCAGGGCCTCAGTCTGAACCCGGGGTCCGAGTTCTGCAGATCTGAACAGAAAGAAGGAGGGACGTGGTTACTGCACACGCTCACTTTGCCTCTTTACTGCAGAGTAACTGTGTAACAGTTCTTCTGTTTTCATGTTTAAAGTTCAGTTTATTTAAATCTCCTGAAATTAAAAATGTATAAACGAGTCTCAAAGGTTTAAAATAACAAACATGATCAAACATGAGCTGTAATAACCGTTAGTGTCTCCTCTCTAATAACAGAAATATAAAGTTTTATTTCTCACCATTTTAAAGAAAAGGTTTTTTAATGATCATGAACTAACCTGCTGTCACAGAGGAGCCGCTCAGACCTGAAGGTCTTGGCCCCTGGGGGGTCCACGCTGCCTCTGACCACCTCTTCTAGACACGCCCCTGCAGCTCAAATCAAGTACAAATCACCATTTTATAAAGACTAACTTTGGGCCTACAGTCTGCCCAGAAAACACGATTCTCTAAAGATTCATCAATAAAACCTCATCAGGCTCTGCAGGAAGAAAAATACAATAACATATAAATATATAATAATGAATATATAAAATAAATACAGATAAATATAAATATATTATAATAAATATATAAAATAAATACAGATAAATATAAATATATTATAATAAATATATAAAATAAATACAGATAAATATAAATATATTATTATGAATATATAATATAAATACAGATTATTATTATTATATAATAATAAATATGTAATAAAAATACAATAACATATAAATATATAATAATAAATATATAAAATAAATACAGATAAATATAAATATATAATTATAAATATAATATATAAACACAATTAAAAATACATAATTATGAATATATAAAATAAATACATGTGTTCCCTCTAACAAGCTTTTCTGTTAGTCAAGGCTCAAAGGTCAAAGGTCACGGTCTGTGCGTCTCATTAAAGGGGACAGTGTACAGTACAAACATATGTGGTTATATATATATATATATATATATATATGTGTGTGTGTGTGTGTGTGTGTGTGTGTGTAAGTGACACAGTCAACCTGGGAACTTCAGCCAAACTACTAAAACAACAAACATCCAAGTCGAGCTTCGCTTATTCTGGAGAGCTTCCAGGAGTGACAAGGTGTGTGTGTGTGTGTGTGTGTGTGTGTGTGTGTGTGTGTGTGTGTGTGTGTGTGTGTGTGTGTGTGTGTGTGTGTGTGTGTGTGTGTGTTTGCTAAAGCATCAGGTTTTTCGGGAACAGTGGGAAACTTGGCAGATGGAAAGCTCTAAACTCTCTCCGGTCTTTATCTCTGTGAAACACTGTGGTGGAGGAACGGTGTGTAGTAAAATGTGTGTGTGTTTGTCTGTGTGTAAGTGTGTGTCTGTGTGTAAGTGTGTGTGTTGTTTGTTAGAGTGGGTAAGTGTTTTGGAACATGCCAACCACGGTCACTTTTAATTTTATCCGGTGGTTGGTTCAGTCGCTCAACAACAGGAAGTGAAGATGTTGATGTTGGAGTCTCTGGGAACGTGTGTGTGTGTGTGTGTGTGTGTGTGCGTGTGTGTGTGTTTGTGTGTGTGTGTGTGTGTGTGTGAGGGGGGTATACTGACAGACTGATTGACGGGCGACCACAGTCAGCTGAAGGTCATTCAGAATTATAACCCTGAGTTTATCTGAACATGGAGTCCAGAAACAAAGACCACAACAGGGAGAGTCCAGACGTGTGTGTGTGTGTGTGTGTGTGTGTGTGTGTGTGTGTTGTTGTCGTGTTGTTGTTGTTGTTAGGGATGAAGGTGCTGGGAGGTCGTACTGAAGCTCAGGATGGGGTTTTGGTTTAGGAGTTGTTGGTGTAGACTTTGCTGACACAGAGGTGAGGGGTGATGTGGTCAGCTGGATTCAGCAGATCCTGACTGTGATATCAGCATTAATATGAATATAAACATCAGCACAAATATCAGCCTTCATGTTAGCTCTAATGATGCTGTCTAAAAGGGTCTGAGTCCCTCATGCTGGTCGATCAGTCCTGCAGAAAAATGAGGATCGATTTTCATCGTTTACTGAGTCGTTCTGAGCCGAACTCAAAGAAACATCCAATCAACATTCAGGGAATAACATGAAGACAAAGTCACAACAGAAGTTACTGAACAGAAGTGACAGAAGTGACAGAAGTGACAGAAGTCGACACTTTTTTTTTTGCATCATGAACGTCCGTTGTGCCTTTTCTTTTTTTATCTGCACCGTTCTCGGCCACCGTACAAACGGATCAGGACTCACACGGTCCACGTGTTTATTCTCTGAACTTCATAACAGGGAAAAACATTAATAAGAAAAACAAGTTATGCAACAGGAGAGATGATTACTGCAGGAAACAGAGTCCGACTCTCATGGACCCGTCTGACCATGTTTACAGTCCGAAAATACACAGCAGGACCAACAGAACCAACAGAACCAACAGAACCACTTTAACTCTCAGTTCAGAGTTTCTTATAAAAGGGAGACAGTTTGAGAGCAGACTCAGACTCAGACTCAGACTCAGACTCAGAGTCTGGACCCTGGAGTCAGACTCAAGTGTTTGTTTACTCTGAAGAGGAAATCACAGAAACGTTTGTGAACAGAGAGGAGCGTGAGGAGGAGAAACGGAGGAGAAACGGACCAGGGCGAGGACCGGAACCATGGAACCAGGAGGAGAACATAGACTTGAACTAAAGTAACCTCAGACCAACGGACAGAGAGACACCGAGGGAACGAAGGACAGGAAAGAAGGAAAGGAAAGGAGGAGTCTTCCCAGGATGAGAGCGGTGACGGCTGGAATTCTTTCTCCAGGACAGGAAATAGCAGTGTGTGTGTGTGTGTGTGTGTGTGTGTGTGTGTGTGTGTCAGTCCCAGACTCTCAGGCTGACAGAGATAAACAGTGTGATCCTCCACACAAAGGACCGGACCGGACCGGACCACACGTGTTTCCCTGAACACTCGTCTGTCAGTCCATGTCCTCCTCGGTCATTACATAACAGACTGAACCTGAACCCTGAACACAGACCACCACAGGAGGGTCAGTCCATCCGAGGAGGTCTGTGATCACTAAACTACAACAACAACTGAAAACAGAGATTTGACCGACGCAGGAGAAGAGGACGGACATGAAACATCACATTATTATAATAATATAATAATAATATAATGATAATAATATAATAATGATATAATAATAATATAATAATGATGTAATAATTATATTATAATGATATAATAATAATATAATAATGATATAATAATAATATAATAATGATATAATAATGATATAATAATGATATAATAATGATATAATAATAATATAATAATGATATAATAATGATATAATAATGATATAATAATAATATAATAATAATATTATTATAATATAATAATGATATAATAATAATATAATAATAATAATATAATAATATAATAATGATATTTCTGTATTTGAATATAAAGTCCTCTTGTTTTTGTTCACTGACGTCGTGCACAGACAGATTTCTACGGCAGCACAGAAAGGACAAACGAGGAACAGACATGTTTGCGTTTCTGAGAAGGTGATGGTGGTTGTTGTTGTTGTTGTTGTTGTTGTTGTTGTTGTTGTTGTGGTTGTTGTTGTTGTTGTTGTTGTTGTTGTGGTTGTTGTTGTTGTTGTTGTTGTTGTTGTGGTTGTTGTTGTTGTGGTTGTTGTTGTTGTTGTTGTTGTGGTTGTTGTTGTTGTTGTGGTTGTTGTTGTTGTTGTGGTTGTTGTTGTTGTTGTTGTTGTTGTTGTTGTTGTTGTTGTTGTTGTTGTTGTTGTTGTTGTTCTGAAGGATGATTCTGATATTAAAGACCTGAACTATGTGGGCTCATACTCCTCCTGGAGGGGCTAAGAACTCTTTTTGACTCTTTGGAGCTCTCGAGGAACCCTGTTAGAACCTGGTTTGTAGTCTTTGAGAGCTTTGTTAGACCTTCTTTAGGGCTCTGTCAGAACTCTAGAACTCTTCAAGAACCCCAAGTGAGTCCAGTTGTTAGAACTATTATAAAAGTCTGTCTGAGCTCTGTTTTAAAGCTCGGTTAGGTCTGTGTCTGAGGGTTTAGTGATAACTGTTGAACTCTGAGAACCTCATCAGAAGTCTGCTGGAACACTTGGAGACCTTGGGAGGTGTGGTCTACATGGGTTTGGGGAACTCTTTCAGAAATCTTCTGATCTGTTTTAGAGCTCTGAGGTTTTGTGGTCCTTCCACTGAGATCTCTCGCTCACACAGTCTGAGACGGTTTTAACAGGACAGGTGAGTCTTCCTACCTGGACCTAGATCTTCAGACCTGACTGTGTAGATGCTGCACACACATGAAGAGACAAACAGACACCAGATGGATCTGTAGTGGGAACACACGGATACTGGTCTGTGGTTCAACAGTCGAATGATTGAAATGAGGAGTCCAGCCCACACACACACACACACACACACACACACACACACACACACACACACACACACACACACACACACACACACACACACTGTGGATTGTGTGGTGGTACACTGACGCTCTCGTCCCCTCACTCTCACTCTCACAAAGGCCCCTCTCTCTCTCTCTCTCTCTCTCTCCCTCTCTCTCTCTCTCTCTGTCTCTCGCTCTCTTTCTCTCCCCCCCTCTCTCCCTCTCTCTCATGTGGACCTACATACCACCGCCCTGATGTCAGTTTGTTCTCCCTCAGCTGAAGGACACTCCTCGTTTGTTCTCAGAGTCTCTGTAGACACTGTTGTGGTCTGATCTTCGAGGTTCGACCATGAGAAAGTATTTCCTCATATTAGTCAATGATTCGTCCTCATCACCGGCTTCAGTGATCAGGAGTGTCAACAGATAATCAATGATTATTTAGTAATAGATTTGTGGAGCCCAAACTTCTGATGACCTTCTCTGTGGTGACCTCCTGACACCATCTCCTCTAAAACCGTCTCAGTGTTCGGTTCTTCGTCTTTACACAGCTTTGACTTTCTCCTCAGAGTTGAACTTCTGTGTTTTATTTTATACTTTAATTCTTCAAACTCAGTCTTTATCGAGTGTATACTGACGCTCTGCTGTAAACCGCGCTCATGTTCGTCAGCGTCTCCACGCTCAAACGTCCTTCTGAAGACTTTGAGATGTTTTCACAGACTGACTGTCCCGAGGTTTCTATCTCTCAGACTGAAGGTCTCCTAACAAACTGATGTTTACGGGACAGTGAGCTCGCTCGGATTAGATTATGAGGAAAACAAACAAACAGGAGGTCAAAGTTCAGCTGTAAATGAACGTGTTGAATCACTCTGAGGTGAACGTCTGCACAGGTGAACGTATGCACAGGTGTGTTTGTAACTGCAGGTATTTGAGTCTTCATGGTCATGACCCATCAGCTGATACGTGAGGTCATCCTCAGTTAACAGATGAGGTCATAACAGTGACGGCGGCGTTGGTATCAGCTGCAGCACTCACAGTCCTGACTGATGAAGATGAAGAAGAAGAAGGTCAAACACGGACCGCAGATAAGTGATGGTGTGTTTTTGAGCTTCACTGTGTTCATGTCTCCAACACGATAAGACAACGAGGACATCAGAGTCTCAAAGACGGTCTCATCACATCTGAATCTGAGACAAACAGAAAAAAACGTCTGATGGATGTTTGAGTTTCCTGTTTGACACTGAAGAAGACAAACGCCGAGCTGATCGTTGTCGGGTAAAAGAGCTCTTTGTTTTGTTTGTTTCTTTATTTTTTAATTTTCTTTATTTTCTTTATTTTTTTTATTTTCTTTATTTAATTTTTCTTTATTTTTGAATTTTCTTTGTTTTTTATTTTTTAATTTTCTTTATTTTCTTAATTTTTTTATTTTTTAATTTTCTTTATTTTTTTTATTTTCTTTGTTTATTTTCTCTTTTTTCTTTATTTTCTTTATTTAATTTTTTCTTTATTTTTGAATTTTCTTTTTATTTTCTTTATCTTTATTTTTTTATTTTTTATTTTCTTTATTTATTTTTTCTTTATTTTTGAATTTTCTTCAAGTTTTAATTTTCTTTATTTTCTTAATTTTTTTATTTTCTTTATTTTCTTTATTTCCTTTATTTTCTTTATTTCCTTTATTTTCTTTATTTTTTTATTTTCTTTATTTTTTATTTTCTTTATTTTTTTTTTTTCTTTATTTTTTTTTTCTTTATTTTTGAATTTTCTTTAAGTTTTAATTTTCTTTGTTTCCTTTGTTTTCTTTTTTTCTTTATTTTCTTTGTTTCTTTATTTTCTTAATTTTCTTATTTTCTTTATTTTCTTTCTCAGTGTTTCTGAGTTTGTGAAGCTTCAGTCTCCAGGACACAGAGAGGCCAACAGAGGCGGAGTCAGCACACACAGCGCCCCCTAAACCACAGAAACAGAACTGCAGCTGACAGGCTGTGAGTCTCCAAATCCTGGTCCAAGTCCTCCTGTAAGAGGATCAGAACTTCTATATTTACATTCACCACAGCGAGGAACTAAGCAGATTAGTGAGCAGAGATACGGGGAAGGAACACCAGGACCAGAACAGGGACTCCCAAACACCTGAGAGACCCTCAGACCCTGTTATCAGGACTCAGACCACAGCAGACCGAGACAGGGTCAGGTCTCCTTCAGGACCCAGAATCTCAGATCTAATCTCAGCGTTTTAAAGAAGAACTGGAATAAAATGAAGGAAAAACCTTCAGGAGAGACACCAACAGTTTCAATCATTTCCTGATTAATTTTGATCGTTACGTCTGAATCATTAAAGTTTTTTATTATCATTTAAAGAAGGTTGAAATGTTTGAAAGTCTAAAAAGAAAAAAGGAAATTAACACGTTTAACACCAGGAAGTAGGTCTAAGAGGGTCAAAATATAAGTGTAATATTATATATATTTATATATACTGTATAAATAACAGAGCACTTCATATAAATCAACAGTTTGTCTGTTTGTGTCCCTGTCCCCCCCCCATGTCTCTACTTTTTAGACATCAGTGATAGACAACAAAGACAATATGTGTATGTGTGTGTGTGTGTGCATGTGTGTGTGTGTGTGTGTGTGTGTGTGATAGGAAACCTTTGAGGTCCTGGATGAATTGTTGGTCTTCCTGGAGCCAGAGCTGCAGGATGGGAGGGGAACAGGAAGTGAATCACCACAGGATCGTTCTGAACCAGGAAACAGGCGGCGTGTTGCTGCGGCGCTGATCCCCGAGGGTCTAAAGATGGAGAGGAAGAGTTTCAGAGAAGGTGTGACAGGAGCGTCTGTGAGGGACGAAGACGTGAGGACTGAGAGACATTCATCAAACCAGGAGACCAACAACAGACCAGGAGGTGAAGATGGAGACAGTCACTGCAGGGAAAGGTCAGTCAGTGACCACGGCGCCGACCCGCCTCAACCGTCCAGATTTACAGAACCAGGAACATGAACCGTCCTGCAGTCCCAGTTCAGCTGCAGGAACGACACGGGAACAGAATCAGAGAGCGAACTCGAGATGATGAGAGACACCGAGGATTCACGTCCTTCACTGCTGCTGCCGTTACCATGGAAACACACAAACAACAACACCGAGAAAAGACGTTTTAATCCAGATTTTCATCTGAAAACACAGAAACACAAGTGTTTAATAAACGTTTGAGTTCTGACCTGCTGATCAGTGTCACTCACCTGTCACGGTCTCCTCTGATTGGTTCATGAGGTGCTGAAAAGTTTCTAATTTTAAAGATCAATCATGTTTTCACCGTTCATCCTCGTCTCTGTTTGGTTTTATTACAAGTCGATCCTCTGACTTCTAAACTGTATGACCGTGACATGAACACAGAAGCTCTCACACCAGTGTCAGCCGTTATTAGTCTAAGTTTAGTTTGTTTATTTGAGCAGGTTAAAATAAAAACATGATAAATATAATATACAACGAGCTTTGGCAGAAAAACAGTTAGAGAGACATCTGTGTAGAAACATCGACGATCATACTTTGTTAGAAAAGGTGTTAAAACGCTTTAATTAGGTTGTAAATTATATATATTAAAGTGTATCTCCAGTCTGACGTCTTCTCTCCTCCTCTGACTGATTATTTCCACTAAAGTTAAACCTCTTTTTTTTTAACATGAATGAGTGAAAACCAGGTTAGGGCGTCTGATGTTGTATCAACTTTATTTCAATACTTTGACATCCTCACCTACAGTCAACAGTTAGAAAACTCCTCCACAGATTCTGGTCGATTTACAGAGCAAGAAAAAAAAACAAACGTATAAAACAACAAAGAAGAAGAAGAAGAAGAAGCCGTAAAGAAAACGACGAACCCGCGAATCCACCTGACGTCTCAGACTCTCAGCAGCTCTTCATCAGCGGAGGATCGACCGTCAATCTGAAGTTAGTTTTTAATCTTTTTACACAAACTAAATAAAAAAATAATCTCTGTCTCTGTCCTCTCTCTCTCTTTCTCTCTCAGAACCAGGCGGCCTCTGTCCCGCCCAGGTGAGCAGGTATCTCCTCCTCCTCATCATCATCATCATCATCATCCTCATCATCATCATCATCCTCCTCCTCGTATATAAAATGATTCTGTTCAAAAACCTCCAGAAGTTTAACTCACTGCTGTATAAAAATAAATTAAAATGATCAACATTTATACAAACGCAGCCTCACTCTCACACACACACACACACACACACACACACACACACACACACACACACACACACACACACACACACACACACACACACACACACACACACACACACACACACTCTCCTGAAACCAACCATGAACCTGCGCCTCCTCCTGACTCCAACAGCTGAAGGAGGAGCGAGCTGAAGACGGGGACATGAGCGCCGTGATGACCCTGTTCAGTCTGTGTTTGAGGAGTCCCAAAGTTCGGTCACATGGTCGTCTAAAGGCGGCGCTCAGGCGGACAGCAGCGGTCAGAGATTTCGTGTGTGAGCGAAGTTTTAGGTCCAAGTCGAGGTTAAAGATTGTCACACCAGCCGTTAAAGCGAGAAGCTCCTGAACGAGGACGCAAACACGTCCTCCAACCACCAACAGAGACCTTCAGTCTGGATTCAGTTCTGTGAAGAGCTGACCCGGTCAAAGGTCAGACGCGGTTTCCTGACTCAGACCCGAACAGAAGAACGTAGATGAAACTCTGAACGCTCCTCGGTCACCAAACATTCAAACCCTCATTTCTGATTTGACCTTCACCTGAGGCTGTGAGGGGTCCGAACCAGGTGTGAACACGTTAAAACCATAAAGTCCGCCCTCCAAGAACACGAGGCGGCGGCGGCGGCGGCGTCAGTGCAAAGAAGTAGAAAAATAATAAATACTAGAAAGAGGAAAAAGAAGAAGAAGAGAGATTTGAGGAAGTTTGTGCAGAAAGTGTGACGACATGACGCATCGAGATAAAAAATTTACTTTAGTTCTGAACAAAGAAACAAGAACAGAAATGTGGGACACAAAGGCAGACATGTTGGTTTCTGTGGTCGACTGCAGCGCTCATCACTAACAAACACCGCCAACGCTACTTCCTGTCACGGCCAGAACATCATCAGCTCTGAGCGTCCAATCAGAGACGACCAGTTTAAAGGTGAGGAGAGCGAGGACAGACGGCGGGCGGAGGAGGAGGAGGTCACGGGTGGACGCCTCATGAACGAAGCTGCTGTGTGACGGACTGTCCAGCAGAGAGAGGAACCAGGTTTATAAACGACCCACGAGTCTGTTTAAAATTTACTCTGAACCCTGACCCCGCCCCCCCACTGTGTGTGTGTGTGTGTGTGTGTGTGTGTGTGTGTTCTCAGTGCAGTCTCTCTCTCTCTCTCTCTCTCTCTCTCTCTCTCTCTCTCTCTCTCTCTCTCTCTCTCTCTCTCTCTCTCTCTCTCTCTCTCCTCACTCGTGTAAAAACTCCCTCAGAGTTCAGGGTTGGGGGGTCACTGACAGAAGGGCGAGGCTGTGGGGTCGAACCCTTTGAAAACGTCCTTCAGGGAGGCGTTGTCCTGCTCGGTGGCGGTCTGGTCCGTCTGGACCGGGCTGCTGCCTCCGAACGGACTACTTGTCCCAGCAGGCTTTGCTGCCTGTTTGGCCACCCCGAATAAAGACGACACGGGTAGATTGTGGACCCCGGAGGGACCCTGATCTCCAGCAGCTCCTGCAGCCCCCTGACCTCCAGCCGCGGCCCCCCCGGCCCCCCCCTGGACCGTGGAGTTGGGCGAGGGGGCCGGTTTGGGTCGGGGTCTGTTGTAGCTGTTGTACCGGTCCGTCCCCCCCTCTGAGCTCTTCTCAGGCTCGGGTTGGTCCAAGGCGGACTTGCGGACAAACAGGGGCTCCTTGGACTTGGGTTTACTGGTTGGGGGGTCACTGGGTTTGGGGTCTGTACTGGCTGAGTTGGGGGAGTTGTTAGAACCACTGCTGGTACCAGGACTACCCGGTTTATTAGTCCTGGGGTCATACAGACTGATGCTGCTCAGAACACTGGCTCCCCCTGGTGACCCTGAGCCCACACTGCGCCCCGCCCCCCCAGTGGAGAGCAGCCGGGGGTCATAAGGAGCGATGGCGGGAGGGGAGGAGCTAGAGGTGGTTACTGAGGAGATGGAGGTGACAGGAGGAGCTGTGGGGGGGTCAGAGGGCGGCTTCAGGGCCGACTTCTGGGGCTGGAGACGGGGGTCTGTGGGGACTTTACGGGCCATACGGGGGTCTACGGGTTTTTCTACAGGAGGCATCGAGGGGGGCGGGCCCAGCAGGGGTCCAGGGGGAGCAGCGGGAGGTAAAAGAGGAGGGGAGGGGGTCTGAGACGGGCTGGAGTTCACGGTCTTCAGGATTCGAGACAGGAGCTCAAAGTCCGGCAGAGACGAGGACGAGGAGGAGGCAGGGGGGTCCAGAGGAGGCTGGACCGGGGGGGGCTGCGGAGCGCGAGAGAGGCGTGAATCCACCGAGGGGACCGGAGGGATGCCTGGAGGGAGGGGGAGGAGGTCCTGCTTTGGGATGGGGAGAGGAAGGAGGTCTTCAGGGGACCAGGTGACGGTCTTGATGAAGGCCGGCATGTGGAGGACGATGTCCTTCTTAATGTGACTGAACTGCTGCAGCTGAGAGCGGGGGTCCCTCAGAGCCATACCCATGAGCGGGTCCAGAGGGATCGGTACCGGCTTGTCCCGCAGAACTCGCTCCGTCTCCTCCTCCTCTGCAGGCGGGGCCGTGAGAGGGGGGGGCTTGTAGACCAGAGGAGGTTCTGATTTAGGGGCAGGAGGACCCTGGGACGAGGCAGCGGCCAGCCGGGCCAACCTGGGGTCTGCAGGCGGTCCAGAAGAAGAAGAAGACGGAGCGAGCATGGCGTGGGCGGACTCGGAGGAATCTGCGGCACGTGCCAGACGAGGGTCTCGAGCCAAGCGAGGGTCTGCCGGGCGCGCAGGAGCGCTGGCAGGAGGGGCCTTCAGGAGGCGAGGGTCACTCGGGGGTCCGTCAGGTTTTTGAGAAGGCTGGGTCTGCTGACGGAGGGTCTTCAGGATGGAGGTCACACTGCCGCCGCCATCCTCGTCTTCACTGGAGTACCAGTTCCCTGAGTCACCTGGGAAAGAGCAGACATGTTTTAACCCTTTAACTCCCAGCTCCATATAAACACGTCTTTGTTTTCAGGACGACCTCAGATTCAGTTTATGGATAAAGATGATGTAAATGTGACAGAAGATCCAGAACCATCGAAGTCAACTAAAACTGAAACTGATCCCAACAGAACTTTGTTAGAATAAACACATGAATCTACAGAGACCGAGCCTTTCCTCACCTGAACATCATCCTCTCAAGTCTATCAGGAGCAGAAATATTGGGATTGGAACAAACAAACAACAGAAACTATTGACATATTTACACTCATTCTTCAGGAGTTTTTGACCGTTTACAGTTGTTTCTGTGATGAGACAGAGGACCACATCATCCTGCTCAGAGTCTCTTCTTTACTTGTTTCCAAACATTGAGGAACATTATTTCTGATTTTACAGACAAGCAGGGAACTTTCTCGTCTCTTATTGGACACTACCATCAAGGGAACAGTAGAAGAAGAATATGAGACCGTGTGATTGGTCGAAAGTTTGACGGAAAAAGACGTCATCATAACAGCTCGTCAAACCCGGAAGTGATCTTTTTTTAATCACATTAATCTGATCAATAATCCTGTTTTCACTGCGGATTTACCATCAAACGTCTCTGATCAAACACCTGTTTTTGTGGTTAGATTGTAAACCTTGTAGCAGGTGTAGAAATGTCTGGAAACCCTCGATAGATCGACTAAAGAGTAAACTTTTAAACAGTTTTAATCCCGTAGAGAAACACGGTGTAGATCCTGAGAAACTCTAAACTATATCTAGGGTGTCATGTGGGATCGTCGGTGAACCTGCATGTTCATCACCTGTTCAGGTCAGAGTCTGATGGCGTTCAGGAACCAGACGCAGCGACCCGGGTCCAAGAACCCGGACAGGTTTATCTATAAAGCACTAACCTTCAGCCTCTCTGCTCCTCTCTGCTCCTCCCTCCGCCATCCTGCGAGCTCTCTCCTCCTCCTCCTGCTGCTTCTGTTGGATCCTCATGAACAGGACGCGCTGAGCTGGCGGCAGGAAGTCAGGCACAGGTATCCCTCCCTGATTGGTCGGTGCTCCGTTAGCCGAGCCCTCTTGGCCGCCTCCTTGATTGCCAAATTTCCCGGCTCCTCCTCCTCTGTCCTCGAACCCCTGGTAGTTGTCACCTGAGGAGAAAGGAAGTGGTTAGTACAGGAGGTCAGAGGAGAGCTGATGGAGATCCAGGTGGACTGAAGTTCACGCTCACCCTCCTGAACCACGCCCTCCATGTTGGACCCCTCCTGCTGGTTGAAGTAGTTATTGAAGAAGTTTCCTCCACCCTGAGGAGGCCCGGGGGGCAGAGCGCCTCCTTCACCTGATGGAAATCCTCCCATCATGGGTAGACCACCGGGGCCCATGGTGGGCATCCCCTGATTCATCCCGTGGTTGGGTCCCATATCTGGGGACATCATCCCTGGGGGGGAAGGGAAGTGGGTGGGCGGTGCACCGGGGGCTCCCTGTGGTCCAGGGGCTGCAGTCTGGCCCTGAGTGCTGCTGGGAGTCTGACCCCTGAAGGAGGAGGAGGAGGAGGAGCAGAAGGTCAAACCAGGAAAAGTGAAGCAGCAGTTTTAGAGGTTCTGACTCCAAAACAAGAACCTTTAAATCCGGACCCTCAGTCAGAACAGGGTCTCACAGGGTCCATGTCCATCAGAGGTGATGGAGCGAGAAGGTCAAAGCTGTGGAGATACTGTCCTCTCACTGATAATAAGGAGGTCAGAGTTCACAGTGATGGTGATGTTTGTCTGTTTTTGTCTCATTAAAAATTCAGAAAACTCCAAGTTCATCCTCAGAGGTATCAACTCGTCACGTTACTAACTCTCCACATAATTTTAACTGTTTTTAACTCTCTTCATGTTTTTAACTCTCTTCATGTTTTTAACTCTCTTCGTGTTTTTAACTGTTTTTTACTCTCTTCATGTTTTTAACTCTCATGTTTTTAACTCTCTTCATGTTTTTAACTCTCTTCATGTTTTTTAACTCTCTTCATGTTTTTAACTCTCTTCATGTTTTTAACTCTCTTCATGTTTTTAACTCTCCTCATGTTTTTTAACTCTCTTCATGTTTTTAACTCTCTTCATGTTTTTAACTCTCTCCTCATGTTTTTAACTCTCTTCATGTTTTTAACTCTCTTCATGTTTTTAACTCTCTTCATGTTTTTAACTCTCTTCATGTTTTTAACTCTCTTCATGTTTTTAACTCTCTTCATGTTTTTTAACTCTCTTCATGTTTTTAACTCTCCTCATGTTTTTTAACTCTCTTCATGTTTTTAACTCTCATGTTTTTAACTCTCTTCATGTTTTTAACTCTCTTCATGTTTTTAACTCTCTTCATGTTTTTAACTCTCTTCATGTTTTTAACTCTCTTCATGTTTTTAACTCTCTCCTCATGTTTTTTAACTCTCTTCATGTTTTTAACTCTCCTCATGTTTTTAACTCTCTTTATGTTTTTAACTGTTTTTAACTCTCTTCATGTTTTTAACTCTCTTCATGTTTTTAACTCTCTTCATGTTTTTAACTCTCTCCTCATGTTTTTTAACTCTCTTCATGTTTTTAACTCTCATGTTTTTAACTCTCTTCATGTTTTTAACTCTCCTCATGTTTTTAACTCTCTTTATGTTTTTAACTGTTTTTAACTCTCTTCATGTTTTTAACTCTCTTCATGTTTTTAACTCTCTTCATGTTTTTAACTGTTTTTAACTCTCTTCATGTTTTTAACTCTCCTCATGTTTTTAACTGTTTTTAACTCTCTTCATGTTTTTAACTCTCTTCATGTTTTTAACTGTTTTTAACTCTCTTCATGTTTTTAACTTTCTTCATGTTTTTAACTGTTTTTAACTCTCCTCAGGTTTTTAACTCTCTTCATGTTTTTAACTGTTTTTAACTCTCCTCAGGTTTTTAACTCTCTTCATGTTTTTAACTTTCTTCATGTTTTTAACTGTTTTTAACTCTCTTCATGTTTTTAACTCTCTTCATGTTTTTAACTGTTTTTAACTCTCTTCATGTTTTTAACTCTCTTCATGTTTTTAACTGTTTTTAACTCTCTTCATGTTTTTAACTCTCTCCTCGTTTTTAACTCTCATGTTTTTAACTCTCTTCATGTTTTTAACTCTCTTCATGTTTTTAACTGTTTTTAACTCTCTTCATGTTTTTAACTGTTTTTAACTCTCTTCATGTTTTTAACTCTCTTCATGTTTTTAACTGTTTTTAACTCTCATAATTTTAACTCTCTTCATGTTTTTAACTCTCTTCATGTTTTTAACTGTTTTTAACTCTCTTCATGTTTTTTACTGTTTTTAACTCTCTTCATGTTTTTAACTGTTTTTAACTCTCTTCATGTTTTTAACTCTCTTCATGTTTTTAACTGTTTTTAACTCTCTTCATGTTTTTAACTGTTTTTAACTCTCTTCTTGTTTTTAACTCTCCTTGTTTTTAACTCTCCTTGTTTTTAACTCTCTTCATGTTTTTAACTGTTTTTAACTCTCTTCTTGTTTTTAACTCTCCTTGTTTTTAACTCTCCTTGTTCTTAACTCTCTTCATGTTTTTAACTGTTTTTAACTCTCTTCATGTTTTTAACTCTCCTCGTTTTTAACTCTCATGTTTTTAACTCTCTTCATGTTTTTAACTGTTTTTAACTCTCTTCATGTTTTTAACTCTCCTCGTTTTTAACTCTCATGTTTTTAACTCTCTTCATGTTTTTAACTGTTTTTAACTCTCTTCATGTTTTTAACTGTTTTTAACTCTCCTCATGTTTTTAACTCTCTCCTCGTTTTTAACTCTCTCCTCATGTCTGACTTTATTATCTTCCATTTTAACTCTGCAGACGTCATTAGAAGGTTAAACCAGAACTGAAGGTCACATCTACAGCCTCCAGGTGAAGGTCTACATAAGAACCTTTCGAACACCGACCGTGACCTTTGACCCCCCAGAAGTCTGTTTGGTTTTTTGGACCTCTTACCTGACGGCCAGTTTCTGAGCCAGCTGTCCCGTCGGCTGGACTTTAATCTCAAACAACGAGGGGATCTTCTTCCCTCCGCCTCCTCCACCTGCACCACCTGGAGGTGGAGGGCCCATGTGAGGAGGGGGACACCCTGGATTTGGGGGTCCTCCCTGGAAGGGACTTCCATCAGGGCCAAGGACAGGGGGTCCAGCACACATGTTCGGCCCAGGGACAGGCCCTTGTCCTGGTACTGGGGGACATTTGGTGGAAATGGGCCCCTGGTTGGGTCCAGGAAGACCCCCAAAGTCCCCAGCTGCAGGCCCACTGAAGTCGACAGGTCCGGTGTTGTTGTCCAGAGGAACCGGTCTAGGAGGAGTGGGGAGAAGTCCAACTCCAGGAGGGGGTTTAGGGAGAGGGTTGATCCCCTGCTTCTTCAGCTCCTCCACCTCCTTCTCATCCTCAGCTCCAGCTTCAGCATCTTCAGCCAGCATCTGAAAACACACGCTCAGTCATGATCACAGCCGACACTGACGGAGACCAGAACTCACTGGTACTGGTCCAGTAAAGAGGACCGAGTGTGTGAGGAGGAACCTGCCTTGTTCAGCAGCTCTTGGGTGTCATCGTTGAGGGACTCGTGGGAGAACATACACTCGTCCCCGTTCACACAGTTCCCCGTGGTGTGGAACAACTTACAGGGGAACTCACGTGAGCAGGAGTCAAGGACAAACACTGGGGGAGAAGAACTCTGACTGGTTTCACTGGTCTACGTGTAAGAATAACTCTGACTGGTTTGAGTGGTTCCCAGTTGAACATGTTAAAGGATATCGTGCATGTACGGACAGTGGTCCGCTCTTGCACAGAATCCAGTGATGTAGAACTTGCAGAGCTCCTTCTTCTTGGGCAGCTCGATGTCGTGGCTGAAGTTACAGTGGTCCCCCTGTAGGTGATGAAAGGGTGAAGGTGAATTAAACGTGGACTTCAGAGAACTTCGGTCCCACTCAGGGTTCATTAGATCCTGCTGTGAGGCCCACACTCTGATGTTGGACTTTCTCACCCATGTGCATCGTCCCTCGATGTAGTACTTGCAGATAGCCTTTCCTTTCTTATCCTGGTGCTTCTCGTTCTGGTTCCTCCTCCCCATTCCTGGCCCGTCTCCTCCTCCACCTCCGTCCTAAAACACACAGAAGATCACACCTTCTCCATCATCTTCTCACTCTGGATCACACGGTTCATTTCCACCAGAGTCCTTCAGACTGAGTCTTACCCCGTTGTCCATGTCTCCACTGTTGTCATCATCGTTTCCCATGTCTCCTCTTCCTCTGCCTCGGTTTCGACCTTTTCCTCCTCTGATCATGCCCCGCCCTCCTTTACCTCTGCCCCGCCCACGGCCACCTTTTCCTCCTGAGACGGTTTAAGAGCAGAGCGTGAGTTCACGCGCACACACACACACACACACACACACACACACACACACACACACACAGATCTGCAGACTCACCTCTGCCCCGGTCTTTGGACTTCTTGTAATGACTCAGCTCCTTGCAGTAGTCGTCGTAGTCCTCGTCCCCCATGTTGTCGTAGTCCTCGTCCCCGTACTGTCGGGACAGACCCACATGTTGGTGACTGAGTTCTTGAACCTTCATTTAGAACCTGAATTCGGACCCTCACCTCCATCTCATCTCCATAACCGTCTCCGTCGTCATTGTCTCCTCCCATCTTTCCACCGCGGCCTCCTCTTCCTCTGCTCCCTCCTCTTCCTCTCCTCCCTCCTCTCAGTCCTCCACGGCCCCTCATGCCCCTCATTCGACCTCGGCCCCCTGTGGACACACAGGTTAATCAATTACAACTTTAGTGGACTGATCTTCAGGGTTTGGGGTCAATAAGGAACCCTGGACCGTCAGGAGTCTCGGTTGAATTTAAGGTGAGAAGAACGTGATAAAAAAAAAACCTGCTGGTATCTGAGAAGCTCCTGATCCTCATCTCCACCTTCCAGATTATCATCCAGCTCTTAATCTGCTCTGTGGTCTCACCTGTTGGACTAAGTCTCAGGTGGACCCGTACTGGGTCTACACCTCTCTGATGGTCCTGATCGATGAACCCACCTCGTCCGCTGCGGCCGCCTCCCTCTTTGGCCTTGCGGTATTGGTTGAGCTCCTTGGTGAAGTCGTCATAATCTTCCTCGCCCATTTCTTCATCCTCCTCGCCCTCGTAGTTGTCTTCTTCGTAGTCATCGTAACCTCCGTAGCTCTGCTTGTCCATCTTCATGTAGCTGCTCTTCTTGGAGCCGCCGTATCCTCCGTGAGACTGAAGACACGTTCATCATGTTAGCCGACTTCATGAAGACACTGAGACTGAGGGTTTCTAGAGTGAAGACGGGTTTGGACTTACAGAGGGGGGGTACTGTGGACTGTAGTCCCTGTACTTCCTCTTCTCGCTGGGACTGTAGTCAGAGTCGTCGCTGAAGTCTGAGTGGTCGTCATCAGAGGATGCGTGACGCTGAGAGAAGGAAACACACACACACACACACACACACACACACACACACACGGGTTTATCTCCGTTCATCGTTTTGGTTCGTCTCATCTCACTTCTACGTTCTCCAACTTTCTTACCTTGTGTTTGGATTTGCGTTTCTTCTTGGACCTCCTCTTCTCCCGCTCCCTCTCTTTTTTCCTCTTCCTCTTGCGGCGGTGGGACCTCTCATCATCGGACCCGCTGCTCCCGTGGCGTTCTCGACTTCGCCGTGGTCTCTCTGAGGCCGCTTCCCCTTCTGCTTCACCTTCGCCTGCTTCATCAGCCCCCTCACCACCACCTCCTCCTCCTCCTGCTGCAGACGCACCTCCGTCCACCTCCTCTCCCACATCTCCTCCGTCATCCTCCAGCTCTCCCTCCTCCAGCTCTCCATCCTCGGGCCTGTTGGTGAAAATGTGAGATGTTAGATTGAAGAGTCGGACACTCACAGATGAAAACGACACGAGAAGATCAGAGAACATCTGCAGCAGAAAAAGGACATGGATGTTTTCATGGTTCGTTTTCAGCGCTCACCGATCACGATAAAACGATTCGTCATTTAACCCGAACGGCTGCTAAAGCTGCGGGTTTTATTTGTGGAGAGGACGTTTTTAAGACGCTGTTTTTCAGTTTTTGACCTTTAAACACGTCAGCCTGTAAAAACAGCTTTAAGGGAGAGTCAGTGACGAGTTAAACTTGAGGTCACCCTCGACTCTCTGCCGTGTGGATTTACAGAAGAACATGACAGAGAAATAGGCTGTTTTATTTACAGACACCGAACACACAGAGGGAGGTTTGAGAACAGCTGTGTGTGTGTGTGTGTGTGTGTTACCACCAGAGGTCCTACACTATTACCTGTATATTAGATACCTCCCTGTATTAACTGCTGTGAAGGGCTGGTCCATAATGCTCCTAACTCACTGTCTGTTAAAAACACCAACAATGAACCAAGACTGAGCGATCAAAACAGCTGAGAGTTCGACCGTGACCATAAACAACACTCTAAATATCATGAAGTACATGTGTCTGTCTGTTATATCACTCATGTCATTCATCAAATAAAACCCTCCATGATGAAACTATAAATACAGCTGTGAGCCGAACTGAGACAAAGTGAAGCAGGATATACTGCTGCTCTACAGACACCGACAAAAACTCACGAGGGGAGAATAATTAAGAGTGTATTTATAAATGTACTCTAACTCCAGACTGTATACATGTAAATGAACACAGAACACATGTCCATAAAAGGAGGCACACCAGTCAGATATCAAGAGCCCCTACATGCACAGACAAGGTCAAAGGTCAGACCCTTACAGGGCTGAGGAGACCCCTTCTGTGATGATATTCTCCCACACAGCGTGTTCAGACATGACTCTCCTGTGAGGCACTGTGAGTAAAAACGTATTTGCCGTAAACATTTGAACATCCTGTCAGACTGACCTGTCGGCCATTTTCTCTCGTTTGTGATTTCATTCACAGTCCAGGCCGGTCTAACTCAGATCCCTGCACCGTTAAAATCGGTCCAGGCACAGCAGAAACAGGCTGGCAGGACCTGCCTGCCTTAAGACCTGATCCTGGTGAGCAGAGAGAAGACCGCAGCCCTAAAACTGACCCCTCAGGAGGAGGTTCAGCGGTTTGAAGAGCATACAGTCAGTGGACAGGTGTGAGGGTTTACAGACCTGCTCTGAGGGAACATGTCTGCCGCTCTGTGTGTGCGTCTGTGTGTGTGTGTGTGTGTGTGTGTACAGTGAACCTCACCACACCCTCGACACACACACACACACACACACACTCTCCCCCCTGGGGTTCCACTGTCACCCCCTGAATAATCCTGATTCATCTCTCTGACACTAACAGAAGACTCACCTGCACAGACTGGTTCACAAACAGGTCTCTAGTGACCCAGAAACAGTCTATAGTACAGAAGTCTTGTCGAAGTTTTATAATTATCTGTTAAACTGTGTGCATGCTGAGAGCGTACTTACTCTTCTATGTTTGCTCTGCTGATCCTGATAAAACACCATCTGAATTGGTCATAATGTAAACTCTCTCCATGATGTGTTCATCCTCACCTCTCAGCTAACAGATTCTACCACCACTGGAGATCCTGAAATTACCCACAATTCAATGCTTTAAATTTGCAGTTTTTTCTGAGTTTCACTGAACTTGGTTGTCCGGATACTTCATCAAACCTGGTTTGATCATAATTAGAAATCTGGTGTAGCTCCAACCTCTCTATGTTAAAGAGCACAAAACAACATCATCCAGAGGTAAACAACAAACTCTGTGTTCAGATTTCAGCCCTTTAAAGGAGAGCGAAACCCCAAACCTGCAGGACATTAGTTCCTGGGTTCCCATCTCCCTGTCTAACATACTTCACTCCAACAGGGTCTTTATCCTGCACCAACTTTAAAGCCAAACACAACAAACTGGAGTTTGATCCCAGCAGCCAAGTCACTCCTCTACCTCACTGTTGGCATGAGCAGCACAGCTGCAGGGCACACGAACACCACAAGGAAAACTTTCCTGACACAACAGAGCGCTCTCTCTCTCTCTCTCTCATAGTTCAGGGATTTGGCTGCGTTAGGAAAGGCTGTCCTGAACAGGGATGGTGAGGTTTCACTAGAGAAATACACTGTTGGCCCCTCGGGTCTGTCTGGATGTTAATCACACACATCACCAGCTCCCAGTACTGTAGCACTCTTCAGACAAACAGCCAGCATAATCAGACTACACCCTGCCTTCATTAAGCTCAGACAAGACAATAACACGTCCTATCAGTGACATCTCATTGAAGCTCCCATCCATTAGCCAACTGAAGAAGTTTAAGACCTGGGAGGAGGAATAACTGTGGTTTACTAGTCACACATTTGTGGTATTGATCAAACCCTGCACAAGCAAAAACTCAACGAATACCAAGTGCAGAAAGACCAAGTCCTACATGGACAGTAACTACGCCAAAGAAATTTCCATAAACTCTGTTTACATCCCACAAGAAAACAAGTGTGAAAAATCCTGACAGGTCAATCAGTAACAGCTTCTCAAGGAGTTACCATGCAGTATGGTACATTATTAGCTCTGTGGATGAGTCCATATCTGTGACTACTATCAAAGCAAAGGGCCGTGATTAAAATGGGGAATACTTACTGTGACAGGCTTTCTTCACTTTTGCAACAAAAACCATTAAAAAGGTTTTTTTGTTTTTTTTCCTAAGGGGCACTACAGGGGTCTTTGGGACTTGGAGGTAGGGCCAACTGGATTAATCGCCTAAGTTAACTATGGAAAAGGGACTTTTGTGTTTGACTTCAACACTTCTGGGATGCTTTGCAGACGTTATAACACACTTTGGGGACTCTTGTGGATGTTTTGAACGAGTCAGTTTGGGCACGACTGTGAAAAAAGTGACATAGTTTAGACCAGCTGATTAACAGGCATCACAAATGAGTTAGAAAAACTTAAACACTAATAAAAGACTGAGGGTTAATCATAAACATAAAGCATATTTATGAAAATAAATTATTCTTAAGGCTTTGGGAAGGGAAAATCAATAATCAAAGGTTGTTTGGGACCCAAAATAAGAGTTCTTACCCGTGGACCTGACAGACAGACCAAAGACAGGTGAACATTTTAAGTGCGTAGTGCTAACACTTAACACACACGGAGCTCTTCCTTACTGGACGTTGACACAAAATGAATCGATAGATGTGAATTGGCGCCCATCCAGACCGATTAATTGATATAAGCATGTTAACAACGATCGGCGGCGTAAATAAATCGTGAGTTAACGTAAATGAAACGTTAGCATCAGTTAGCTTAGCCTTTTTCAGTTGGCAAACCGCAGCCTGGTGACATTAGCCACAGGCTAACATAGCTACATTCAAACAGGGCCAGATTAGTCTCACAGGGCCACATTATCACCAAAATCCCTGTTTTGGATTCTCGGTCAGTTACGTGCAGGAGTCGCACTTACGCAATAAACGAACTTTCCGAAAATACGGAGTTTAACGGTGAAAGTGGCAGAAACGGGGCTGGTAGTTAGCCGGAGCTTTATACCCGATGAATTGGCTAAAATGGCGGTGAACGTTTGATTGATCAACTGGCTCAGCTTCATCGGTATTTCTTCCGATAACTCGACCGAAGTCGGTTGGTCGTTGGTAGAAATAACTTGAGAATAGAGGGAATAAAGTTCTCCCAGATGCTATTGGCCTCCCAGTTGTCGTTGTCGGGTCAACATGGCGCTCTTTACCTTTGTACTGGTTTTCCAAAAAGGCGAGTTTAATCCCTTTGACAGAAAAAGAAAAAGAAAGCCCGGGCTTTTGTGTCAAAGCACAGGACAAATAAATAAAATTCATTTAAATATGACTGTAGAATTACTCGACCTTTCGTCAGTCCGGAGACTGTTGTGTTCGTGGTTGGTAGTTGGGGAGTTTGGATGGACAGTCATGCTTTCCACAGCCATTTCCTCTACATTTAGGTGCAAAAACTAACACGACACTGGAAACTACTGGCTTATGCGTCACTTCACTAGGATCTACTTGTTTGATGTTAGGAAGAGTTTCAATTCATAGTAGGCAATTCTCCACTTAAGTTGTAAGAGAAATTTGATGAAATTGAGTCCTGACGTTCTCCGTCCTACTGTAGCGATGTGAAATGACGACTGCCCAACTTAAAATGGCCGACCGTCTTCTCCGCGGAGGAAAGGGGGCGGGATTTTACACAATGACATCATGACGAATTACGTTTTTGTACGCGTCTCACGGAAATAACCGAGCAGAGTGCTCTGTGGGAAATATGCTCTCGGCTTTGACTTGCAGGTGCACCGGCACACTCCGAGGTACGGGAAAGCGTAGTACAGACACAAGGATATATGAATTTAGACATCACATCATATTCATAATGCATGTAGTGTAAATATGTGCCAACATAAACCTGCAGTGAAGTTAAGATTACGATAGAAATACAATTTTGTGCAGAAATATACAAACGTTCATAGAATCCTTTGTTTGAATAAAATGACAAGAGAGGATAAAAATATTAAGACGGAGTAGGGCCACATTAGGTAAAAAACAAGACTTCGAGAGTCGTTAATTTACGAGAATAAAGTCTTAATAAAATCATGATGATACTTGATAATGTGGTGCTGATGTGCCAAAATATGAAGTATCTCCATGTTTGAGAAACATATACTGAAGAAGATTTCCACGAAATACTCCATGGCTCTAATTTCAACAACTGTCATCTTAAACAGAAGGGTAGAATGGAAGGACTTTATTACGACTTTACTCTCATAAATTAATGACTTTCATCTCGAAGTCTTAATTTTTTTTTCTTAATATGGCCATTATATCAATAGACCAGAGCATCACTTTGATTTTTATCTGTCAGAGCTCAACCTTCGGTACCTGACTGTATTTAAAGGGAAACTCGGTTACCCTCTTCCTGACAGACCATACTTAGGGAAAATAACCGGACACACACTCTCAGGCTGCGGTGGTAAAAATATCACATTTGTTCTTCAGAAATCCTTTTTTCTTAGATTCATCGGCTGAGGTTAACTGTAAATATTCACAACAATAAAAATGTAATTTGGATTTTTTATTTTGAATTTCAAGAAAAACACGATAAACTTCTGCGCTGCAAACACAAACTCAGAGTCATGGCGAATATAAAATATAGAGGGTGTTATTCGACAGATGAATCGATCAGTTCCAGATGAGGACTTTGTGTTGTGATAAAAGTTGTGATTTTATTAAAAATAAGAAAAGAAAAAAAAAAAAATTCTTTTGTTTGGCCCTACTACGTCATCATCCTGCGTCCATTCAGCGGGACAGTCGCGGGGTTTGAATCAGTCGGATCTGCAGCCGAACCAAAACCCTCTTTAAAACCCGGTTCTGAGTTTCTTCGTCCCTGAGACTTAATCGATATGATCGAAAAAGAAGAGTCGGTGATCAGTGAGGAGGAAGCGGCTCAGTATGACCGTCAGATCCGTCTGTGGGGACTCGATGCTCAGAAGAGGTCAGTTAGCTGTTAGCATCCCGGAGGCTAAAGGCTGGAGGTTCGAGCCGAACCTGAGCTCCGGTCCACTTTCACCGAACCGACGGGTTTACCATTGGGTTCAGAGACGCACTGACAGACAGGGTTTAATCTGAAATACAGTCTGACTGACAGGAGAGAGTTTAGAGGGAAGAAGGTCCAATAAAACCAAAAACAGTCCAGACAAAAATGTTTTTTATAGATTTAATTAAAATAAAAATAAAAAAAATTAAATAAATTCCTCCTTAATCATTTGGAGATGAGTTACTGAAGCTCCAAAAATATTAATGGACTTAAATCTTTCATCTTTTATTTTACCATATTTACCCCAATAAATACACATCACATGTAGGTCAGTTTTTAAGATTTATTCTTAAATTTGGGGAAAAAAAAAAGAAAAAACAATTGATGTTTGAACTTAAAAATCGTTTTAAAAATTGTATAACAAGAATCGTGATACTTCTGTGATTCGATTATCTCTCCCACCTTTTTTAAATATACAGTTCATGTAAAAAAAATTGTTTTTTCAGATGTAAGAATAAATCTTAAAAACTGACTTACATGTGATGTGTATTTATTGGGGGTAAATATGGTTCCTGAAATAGTCAGTAGACAATCATAATCATTCAACTGCTTCACTGGAGTTAAAAATGCTGATTAAAAATCTAGAAAATCGACAATATCGTAGAATCGCAATTTAAATCGAATTGGCAAAAAAATCGTAGAAGAATCTAATCAGGAGAAAAACATATCGTCCCAGCCCGACTGTTATCCTGGTTCGATAAAAAGGTATTTCCTATGTGTGTGTGTGTGTGCCGGGGGGTGTTAGCTGTTCAGTGAGTGGGCTCTCTGTCCTGCAGTTATTAGGTCTGATATGTTTAAGGGCTTGAACTATATTTGTCTTTCAGTGTTGATAATAAAACCACTTTAAAGCAAATTTTGATGCCAATAACTGAATTAATGTGGATTAAGATTTTTGAGTGAAAATGTAGAATGGCGTAAACTTAGTTGAACTTCTTTAATAAAAAGGAAACTGAGACTGAGTGAAAACAGGCTCAGCAGAGGAGACTCGATCAGTTAGATCGGTGATCAGCAGCTCAAAAAAACTAACTAATAACTGACCACATGTTGAACATCATCAGTCCCATTAATCAGCCCGTAATCAATCCATCCCTCGTTTTTTAATTAGTAACTGATGCCATGGAAAACGCAGCAAAATACTCGTTCAGCAGAAAATATTGAAGGTGAAAGACGTAAAAAAGAGCAAAGAGACATAAAAAGACTGAGTGACGTCATGAAAGCAGACCAGCTCTCCCATTAAAGTCCAACTACTGAACCAGTTTCAGAGTAAACCAGTGAAACCAGTCTGAACTCTGTCCTCTGCTCTTCAGGCTGCGAGGGTCCAGAGTGCTCCTGGTGGGTTTAGGGGGTCTGGGAGCTGAGGTGGCTAAGAACCTGATCCTGGCCGGAGTTAAGGGACTCACTATGCTGGATCACGAACAGGTAAGACCCCCCCCCACACACACACACACACACACACAGCTGAGGGTCTCTGCTTTAACCCCTGATCTCTTATTTTCAGCTGCTGATGAGTGAATTTTTTTAAGACCGATAAACGAGTAAAAAGAGTCGAACCTGTGACAGTTCAACTTTACTGTGTTTTTATGGACGACCACCAGGTGGCGCTGGTGGTTGAATAACAGTCTCAATGAGGACACAAGCCAGACACTGAATCGAATCATCTGTGTGTGTGTGTGTGTGTGTGTGTGTGTGTGTGTGTGTGTGTGTGTGTGTGTGTGTGTGTTCTCCAGGTGTCTGTGGAGTCATGTCGAGCCCAGTTCCTGGTACCAGTGACGGCTCAGGGTCAGAACAGAGCCTTGGCTTCTCTGGACCGAGCTCAGAACCTGAACCCCATGGTGGAGGTCCACGCGGACTCGGGCCGGGTCGAGGACAAACCCGATGAGTTCTTCCTGCAGTTTGATGCCGTGAGTGGAGCTGAGCGATCGTTAAACGTAGATGTTCTTCACCTAGATGTTGAAGTCAGTCAGAATGAGCTCCTCTCTGATCACATGACCCACTGACCCGCTCTCTAAATACGGGTCCGTGCAGTCCACTTTATTTCACATTTTCAAAAACATTGAAGTTGACCAAAGTGCTGCTCAGTAAAATTAAAAGAACAAACACGACAAAAAACATCAGGAGGAAATAAATAAAAGCAGGTAAAAAAAAAAACATTTAAAATGAAATAAAAACACAAAAGTGATGAAAGAGATCAGACGACTCTCCTGCTGAGCTAAAAGCCGAGGAATAAAACCGAGTTCGAAGACGTGATTTCAAAGAAGACAGAGAGAGGGGCGAGCTTTTGGGCGCCACAGCCGAGAAAGTTCGGTCGCCACGGGTTTTTACACGAGTTTTAGGGACGAGGACTTGGAGCTGATCAGCTGACCTCAGGGGTATAAAGATTGAAGAGGTCAGAGATGTGCTGTGGCGCTGATCCGTTTAAAGATGTGAAAACAAACAATAAAATTCTAGAATGAACGGGAAGGACAGGAGTGAGACACAGAGTCCAGTCCAGAGACGGTTTAATGGACAGAAGCAGCTCCTGTGGGCTCAGTCTGTCAGTGTCGTCTTACTCAGTCTGACCACTAGATGTCACCTGAAGCACATTTATAAACACCAGGATCTGAACCCAAACGTGTTTATATTCATGTCTTCACTCTGTCGTTTGGAGACGGCGTCGGCCTCGGCTTCGCTTTAGTCTCTGATCTGAAATAACGGTTCCAGTCGGTCTGTGCTGCAGCTCGTTAGAGATCCAATTAGCCTGATGATGACACACCGAGGACAGCTGCAGTAAGATGTCTGTTCTGGTTCTGTTGGGTGGACAGCGGGCTCAGTGGGTGGAGGATGTTGACGGCATGTTTGTAGACACAGAGCTGCTGTAGAAGCTGCTCAGTCGATTAGATTTAACACTGAAAAGAGAAAAACAGGCGACGGTGAAAAACCTGACATGATGGTTCTCATTTCTGTGAATCCAGAGTCCTCTTCAGGACCCGGACCCCCAACTAACACCCTGACTGTTTTCACTCCCAGCAGTCAATGTGACAATGATGATGATGGAGATGTTTCTGTGGAACCATGTCAGGATCTGATTCTCACTCAGTCTGGATCATCTGAACTCCTCCTCATCAGGAGAATAACACGGAGCTTTTTTACTCCTGTTGTGTCTGAATTGTCGGCAGTTTCTTCCCTGAGGGGGGGTGAAGTAAAGGTCGAGAGCGGGAGGGAGGGAGGAAGGAAGGAGGGAGGGAGGAAGGAGAGAGGAAGGAAGGAGGGAGGGAGCTCTGAGAGGAGGATGATAAAAGTAGGACACAGTGAAGTGAGGACGGCGTGAGATAGATGTTAGTGCAACAGAGAGGAGGAGGAGGAGGAGGAGGAGGAGGAGGAGCAGACGGACCCAATTCAAAAACAGTAGGGGGGGGTCTGTCAGTCTGTCTGCGCTGAAGACCACCCGGTCCTTTGATCCGGTCCACAGGTGTGTCTGTGCAGCTCAGCAGGAAGGAGGACGTCAGAGTCGGAGTGTGAACCTCCAGAATCAGACATGCTGACGGTGACAGGGTCTGTGTTTCTGCCTCACACACACACACAGACACACACACACACACACAAACACACACACACACACACAGACACACACACACACAGACACACACACACACACACACACACACACACAGGTAAACAATAGAGCGGCTGTTTTCTCTGAGGTCTCGTCTGTTTTAGGAGAATTCTTAGAGTTTCAGACGTTTGTCTGATCCGATCATCAGAGACGAGTTTCTGTGAGCGAGACAGAACTTTGACCAGATATCAGTGTTCTTCTTCTCTGACATTAGAAAGAGCCTCTCTCTCCCTCTCTCTCTCCCTCTCTCTCTCTCTCTCTCTCTCTCTCTCTCTCTCTCTCTCTGTCTCTCTCTCTCTCTCTCTCCCTCTCTCTCCCCCCCCCTCTCTCTGACCTCTGACCTCTGACCCGGTTCTTTGTCCCTCAGGTGTGTCTGACCTGCTGCTCCAGAGACCTGATGGTTCGGGTCGACCAGCTCTGCTCCCGAAACAACATCAAGGTCTTCTGTGGGGACGTCTACGGTTACTATGGTTACATGTTCTGCAACCTCGGCGAGGAGCACAACTACGTGGAGTAAGTGTGTCTTTAACTCGTGACCGTCACACGCTTACATGACCTCTGATCTGTTGGGGGTCAAAGGTCAGAGGCGGGGTGAGACAGGGACAGGAAACAGGCGGGGGGACCACCTGCTGACTCAGGTCTCTGAGAGAACAGGACCCAAACCCTCACCTGGTTTCTGAGGAGCTCCTGGTCTCAGAGCCGAATTAGTCAGAACCAGAACCGGACACAGACGGGTTTGATTCTGTAGTCGTGAAGGAACCAAGTCAGTGTAGCTGCAGACTAAGAAACAGAGGTCTGAGATGTTCTCTTCATCTTCATCTTCATCTTCATCTTCACTGTCTCCAAAGGGAGAAACCTAAAGTGGTGAAACCTTCAGGAAATTCCAACGACGGTCCAGAGGCCAAGAAAGCCAAGATCGACCCCAACGAGACCACCGTGGTGAAGAAGGTAGGCCCGCCATGACACTTCAGAGGAATCCTCTTCCTGCAGGTCGGCTGAAGGTTTTTAAACAACAACATCTTTTCACCCAATCAGACGATGAGTTTCTGCACCCTGAAGGAGGCTCTGGAGGTGGACTGGACCAGTGAGAAGGCCAAAGCGGGTCTGAAGAGAACCCCGGTGGATTATTTCCTGCTTCACGGTAAAGAAAGTCTGGAAATTTAACCTTTTTAGACGTTTGATGATGTTTGAGATCTTCTAACCCTTCATGGTTTCTGTCATCTTCACTCAGAGGTCCTCACTAAAGCAGCTCACTGACGGTGATGGAGATATTCAGCAGAGTCTTTAAATGTCTTTGACATGAGGAGCATCTTTACAAACCACCGTTTCTAAAAATTCATTTTATCGCCTTTAAAAAAATCTGATTTTTTGACAAACTCGTTTTCAGTTGGTTGGATTAAGAGACGCCTGAAAGTTGAGAGTCTGTGACTGTAACTGAGATTTCTGAGTGGGAGGAGAGACAGCAGAGAACATCAGACAAAGACTCCTGAGAGGACGAAAACAGGACAGAAATCTGAAACTGAAAACGTGTAGGATCAGCGTCACGGCGCCCGAGTCACATGACCGACTGATGAGCTATCACTGAGCGTGCACGCAAAATGATTTACATGAAGTCCTCTTCATTTTCCAACAACAAAAACTCAAAGAAACTGATAAATACGTGTTTAAATATCATCATAATAATAATAACTGTACATTTATAAACACATTCGTCTTTAATAGAAGAGGTACAGAGAGACCGGGACCAGGACTGGATCCTCTGACCAGGACTGGATCCTCTGACCAGGACTGGATCCTCTGACCAGGACTGGATCCTCTGACCAGGACTGGATCCTCTGACCAGGACTGGATCCTCTGACCAGGACTGGATCCTCTGACCGCCTCAGACCTTTAGTTCAGAGCCGTTTTTTTCCTTTTAAAGTGAAGGTGAAGGTGACTTCCTGTTTCCAGGTTATTTTCATCAGCTGACCTTCTCTTCGGAGGAGGAGCTGTCACCTGGCTCTGCACCAGCCCATCTCTGCACACCTGTTTCCATCACAGGCTGTCCATGACCAGTCATGTGCACTGAGCAGAGAGCAGAGATCAGCCCGACACCTACGACACGCCGCCAGACAACACGCCAAAACCAGCAGGCGTTCAGAGATCACTGAGCATGCTCAGATCTGAGTTTTCAGCTTCAAGTCATTTTTGTAGATTATAACAAAGACCGAAGACGCAGACAGGAAACCATGTGGGTCTGACGGTCTTCAGGTGTCGAATTACAGATTTAGAGAATCAGAACCTTCAGGTCCAAAATTAGAGTCGCTTTATTTATTCACTCCTGAAACCCACAGCAGCATCACTGTGTGTGTGCGTGCGTGTGCATGTGTGTGTGAGTGGAAACGAACGCCCAGTTGTTGTCTGTGATGGAGTGAGTGTGCGGCGACAGGAGGAGTGTTGTTGTTATTCCTGCTCTGCTTCTATAAATGGAGCCAGCGGTTGTTGTTCTGGGCCGACCGATGAGGAAGTGGTTCTTCCTCTGTTACAACTGCTTCCTGTCAGACCGAGAACAGCCTGTGTGTGTGTGTGTGTGTGTGTGCGTGTGTGTGTGTTCAGTTTAATATTATGTAATCATATCAGTGTATATTTATTTACCTGTTTTAAGAACAAAGTCTTTAAAAATGTGAAACTTTCTGTCTGATCAAAGTCAAACTTCATGAATTTAGTCGTTAAAACGTGAAAAATAACGAGGACAGAAGAGTGATTCAGGACGGCGTTAGATTTTAATGACCGTGTGTAAATTCAGGATCCAGAAAGGCCAAACCGGTTTGAACCGGATCCCCCGCTCTGAGGTCTGGAGTTAGTTCAGGCAGGCTGATCAAGAAAGTCCTTTTTGGGGGTCCTCCAGGGGTCACAGCTGACCCCTCCCTGTCGCTGTCCA